TCACCCCCGTGCACTGCAGCCCGCCAGGCTTCTCCATGGCATTTCCCAGGCAAGAATGCTGGAGTGGGTTGCCGTTTCCTTCTCCAGGGGATCTATCCACCCCAGGGATGGAGCCTGCGTCTCTTGTGTCTCCTGCACTGGCAGGCGGATTCTTGACCCCTGGTCACCTGGGAAGCCCTTAGGACCTGCATTCCCTTCTTATTAGCTGATGGTACTTCAGTGACATAAGTACTGTTCCTGTCTCAGATCTGGACATGAAGGCTCAGCGTGGTCAGGAACAGCCCTCTCTCTGGTCTCTGCCCACCGACCAGCGGCCCTGACCGCTCCTTACCCTCCAGGTCTCACTTCTTCCTCTGGCAAGTGGGATGTGGTGGGGCCCATCACAGTGGACATGAAGTGGATAGTACCCTTTTTTTTTAATGGACTTCCTTTTTTAGGACAGCTTTAGATTTACAGGAAATGAGCAGATAGTACAGCAAGTTCACATATAAGCCCTGGCCCCAGTCCCCCCTTATTAGCACACCTCATATTAGTATCATATGTGTGTTGCAATGAATGCACCAATATGCATACATGATTATGAAGTAAAAGTCCATAGTTCATTCAGAGGTCCTTAAGTTTTTTTCAGCTTTTAACATTTTTTTAGGTAACAGCTTTGTCAACATATCGTTCACACAATATTCCATTCACCCATACAAAGTGCACAATTCAGTAGATTTTAGTAAATTTACCAAGTTACCTGATCATCACCACAGTCAACTTTAGAACTTGCATCACCCTGCAAAGAAGCCCTGTACCTCTTAGCCATTAAGTCCTAACCGATCTCCTTTCTGTATCAGTAGATTCTCATATTTTGGGTATCTCATGTAAATGTAACTGTGGTCTCTTGGGTTTTTTGGTTTGTTTGTTTGGTTGGTTGTGTCTTAACTTTTTGTTTTATGTTGGAGGATAGATAGCCAGTTGACAACGTTGTGATGGTTTCAGGAGCACAGCGGAGTGGCTCAGCCGTACGTACCATCCTCCTCCCCCACACTCCCCTGCCATCCCGGCTGCCACTTACTGACAGAGTCCCCAGTGCTTGTTGGTCATCCATTGTCAAGGTGGCAGCATGTACGGGTGTCCTTAATTTGTAGTTACTGCCCTTTTTCTATCCCAGGATCCCGTCCACGATCCCACATCACGTTTAGTTGTCATGTCCCTTGAGGTTCCTGAGCTGTGAGTGTCTTGGGTCTTCCTTGTTTTCAGTGACCTGGACAGTTTGGAGGAGTGCTGGTGTCTTGTGGGATGCGCTTCTGCCGGGATTTGTCTAGTGCTTTTCTTAGTGGGCTGTGTGTCGTGGGGAGGACGAGCCCAGAGGTCAAGTGCCCTTTCCATCACCATCGATAGCACGGACATGTCCCATCAGCATGATCTGTCAGCATGACGTTGACCTTGACCACCGGGCTCAAGCGGTGTTTGTCAGCTTTCTCCCCACCTCCCTTTCGTGTCGTTACTCCCCTTGGAGAGGAGTCACTGCACAGCACATGTTTAATCTGTGGGCATCTATATACCCAGTGATACACTTTTTAACACCTTTGACAAAGGACCCAGCACACAGGAAGCACCCTAGTGTTAACTGTGATTACAAAACATTTTTCTAATGTTGTTTTTATTATCATTATCATCTGTAAGGAGTTTCTCAGGTGGTAAAGAACCCGCCTGCCAATGCAGGAGACATAAGAGACGCAGGTTCGGTCCCTGAGCTGGGAAGATTTTCTGGAGGAGGGCATGGCAACCCACTCCAGTATCCTTGCCTGGAGAATCCCATGGACAGAGGAGCCTGGCGGGCTTCAGTCCATGGGGTCGCAAAGAGTCGGACATGACTGAAGCGACTTACCACGCACACATCATCTGTAAGGATTAAGTGCTTAGGACGATTAAGGAGATGAGATCTGTAACCGGCTTAGGACTGGCCTTGGTACAGTTTAGGGATTAAGAGAGATAAAACATTTAAGGTGCTGGCACAGGGCCTGGTAACTATAAGTGCTCAATAAATATCAAGTAAAAATAAATAAGCAAATGGGTGGGTAGATGGATAGGTAGGTAGATAGCTGACGTCTTTACCCAAAGAAGATGAGGGCATGTGTCCTCACACAGGCTTGTGAATGGAAGTTCACAGGAGCCGAGCATTCCAGCTCCAACCTGGAAACAGCCTCGTTGTACACCAGCAAGATGGATAAATGCACTGTGGTACATCCAGGTGGTGTAATACTATTTGGCAATGAAAAGGATAAACTCCTGAGACAACCACGTGGGTGCCTCTAGAAGCATTATGCTAGTGAAGGAAGCTAGACCCAAGAAAGCATATCCCATAAGGATCCATCTATGTGAAGTTTCAGAATTGGCAAAACCAATGTATAATTATGGGAAGGAGATTGGTGGTTGCATGGAACAAGGGTGAGGAGGGAAGCTGGGCGCCATGAGGGAGCCTGCTGGAGGGCTGTGTTCTCCTGAGGCAGCGTTAGTTCAGGCTGACGGGATGGGGGCACCTCCGCTGACCCTTCGCTGGCAAAGTGAAGATGCTGAGGCCCAGAGCAGGCAAAGAGTTTGCCAAGGGTCATACAGCAGTGCCTCCAACTCTTGGTCTAGCTCCCTCTTAGTTTGGCCACAGTGCCGCTATTCCCTCGTGTAGACACAAGGCAGTGTGTACACAGCGTCCTGTAGTATGCAATAGGAGCTCTATCAATGCCCCTGGACCTACTGAGGCACAGTTTAAGGGCATGAAAGGGCGTTGGTTTTGGAGACTGGTAGACTAACCTCTTCTCAAACCAGGTCTGCCACTCAGGAAGGTGGTTCAACCTCCCTGAGCCCCTTTGCTCGTCTGAGAAGTGGAGAAAATAAACGAGGCTGTGCCCTCAGATGGTGAGCAGTGCTGTAAAAGAAAGCAAGGAGACGTGACCGAGAGCACCTGCCTGGGAGGCCGGCTTTAGCCGGGGGCTCCGTGATGTTTACTCTGAGCTAGAAGACGGAGGAGGAGCCAGCCTGACTTCAGGGGTCTCAGGGAGGGGGTGGGGTGCCGGATAGAGGAGCAGCAAGCGCAAAAGCCCTGGGTTCCCAGCCTTCGCCAGCCCCTTCCCCAGCCCAGCCCGCCCCCCCCTGCACCGCCCATGAGGAGCACAGCTGCCCAGGCCTGTGCACCGGCCTTTGAGCCCTGGCATGGCTTCCCCCTCCCCAGCGCGGCCCCCAGGCAATGTCACCCCTTCCTCACCTTGTCCTTCCTTTCCTTTATTTTCTGCTGTGCTGTGTCCTCACTGTTGTGCGCGGGCTTTCTCTAGTTGCGGCGAGCAGGGGCTACTCTCTGCTTGTGGTGCCCAGGCTTGGTTGCCCTGCCATATGTGGGATCTTCCCAGACCAGGGACCGAACCCGTGTCCCCTGCACTGGCAGGCAGATTCCTCTCCACTGTACCACCTGGGAAATCCCCCTGCCCCTTATCTCTCTGTCCCAATGACATGAGCCCAGCCAATGTCCGATGCATCTCTGGCTCTAGCACTGGGCACACAATAGGTCCCTGAAGAATGCCGCCTTTATGGGCTAAATGACTAAACAACAGCAAAGATAACAATAGTATTGAGGGCTCCCTCTGCACTACAGACTGTTCTTTGCGCTTCCCATCGACTCATTCAACGGATGTTTACCGACCCATATTGTGTGCTGAGAAGTGGGATGCAGCCATAAACAAAAAACGAAAATTCCTGACTTTGTGGAGCTGACATTTTTATAGGGGAAGACAGTAAACAGAAGTGAAGTCCAAGGTGATAGGTGCTTGGAGAAGAAGAGAGGCAGGAAATGCTGGGAGATGGGGGTGGTTACGGTTTTAGATCAGGTGTCCTCGGGGGACCTTTGAGGCAAAGATCTGAAGGAAGTGAGGGAGTGAGCTGTGTTACATTTTGGGAAAGAATGTTCCAGCAGGGTGAAGAGCAAGTGCAGAGACCCAGAGGCTTGTAAGGGGGTGTAAGGGAAGGGGAATATGCCAGTAGGGCTGAGACGCAGGTGGTGGGGAGCAGGATGGGGTGGTGCTGGGGTGTCACCTCGGGCAGCGGGCTGGCCACTCTGCCTTGGTTTCCCCATGTGGACAGTGTCATGGTACATCCTACCGAGTTATATTTGGACCCCAAGGTAGCTTAAGAGCCCAGCTCTGCCACTTGCCATGTGTGCGACCTTAGTCTAGTTAGTTCTATCCTCCAAGTGTCAGTTTCCACCTCTATAAAGTAAAAATAAAGATGGTACCCGCTTCTAATAGATGGTGAGAATTCGTGAAGATCGAGCATGTCTGGCACTGAGAAAAAGTATTCAGTAAACGATAGCTGCCGTGTTCTTTTTTAATCCTCCTGATTCTCATCTGTCTGGAGGAAACTGGGGCGCAGAGAGGTTAAGGAACACGCCCAGTGTCACACAGCCGGCGAGTGACAGCTGGCTTGTGAGTCCAGGCGTAACAGTGCTTACCCTCTGGATATACTGAACCCTCAAGTGAGCAAGTGGGTTGGGGGGTACTCTGAGGGATCTTTGTTCTGAAAAGGCTGCTGGGGGCCAAATGATCACATTGACAACTGGTAAAAGCTGGGTTGCGGGGGTGTGGCTTCTGTCTGGACCTCGGTTCCTTCTGGGCACCAAACCCCGGAATGACCTTGCCGTCTACCACCAGTAGCACTGGAGGAGAGTGGGGCGACTGTGGGTCCGAGAGAAGGGGCCAGCAGGCTCCTAACGGGAAAGGCCGGGCAGGCTGAGCCCAGGATACTCTTTCAGACTCACCTGGCCGGTGAGGCCCCGCCTCTCCCTGGGGACGATCAAGTGAAGGGGCACAGACTGCGGCTCCATTCACAGGGAGCATAGTGTCCCAGGGAGAGAAGGGAGCACCCTAACATGAATGAGTGAGCGAGTGACTTCCTGAGTTGGGGTGGGGAGCAGGGAGGAACGTGCTCTCGTCCCCCCCACCTCCAGCTCACCCTCCTCTTGTCCACAGTGGCAGGGGCTCTGCTTGCTGACTTCCTGTCCGGCCTGGTGCACTGGGGAGCCGACACCTGGGGCTCCGTGGAGCTGCCGATCGTGGGGAAGGTACGTATGTTGGCCCAGCCCTGAAGCCCAGCCTGTCTCCTCCAGGAGGAGGTGGGACTGTCTGACCTGGGCTGAGTCCCCTTTCCTCTCTGAGCCTGTTTCCCTATCTGTAATATGGGAACCGTGGTTCCAGCCTGACCCCGCCTCCCCTGCCTTCAAGACCAGAACAGGAATCCCCTGGGATTTCCTTGAGCCAAAGCATCAGGCCTGGGACAGAGAGCTTTGATACATGTCCACCTCACTGGACCCCCTTGAACTTGGGGACCACACCGCATCTTGTTCTCCTCTGCCTGCCCTGCTGCACCTCACTGTTCCTTTTCATTGAACTTTATCTGGTGTCAGATGTTTTGATTGCGATAGAAAATCTGGTACACACTTAACCACAGAAAGGTACTGATCTGTGTACTAAAAATTTCAGAAGCCAAGTTAGGGCGTGGTTGTGTCCAGTAGGACGAACAGACCGTATTCTCTGGACCCCATCCCTCTCCACGTCTGTCTCTGCTTTGCCCTCCGCTGGCTGCACTCTCAAGCGGGCTCTCCCCTGGGAAGGTGGCGGGGATGGCCGTCCACTGCCTCGACGTCCGTCCTCCCAGCTCAGCACTCCGCGAAGACCGTCCCCTTTCCCATAGTTAGGACCGGAGCCCCACAGCTCATCCCCATTGGCTTCGCTTGGATCACGTGGCTGTCACACAGCCAGTCACTGTGGCCAGAGGAATGGGGCGCTCTGATTGGCTGGGCCGGGGTCCGAGGAGGCAGCCTGATTGGAGCAGCTGGGACTAAGAGAAGAAGCGGAGGCTCTTACCAGAAGGCGGGGTTGGATACTGGAAAAAGAAAAAGGGTCCAGCCTGTCAGTGTAAGGGGCCTCCTCAGTTGCCTCAGGGTAGGAGAGGAGGGTGGAGGTTGTCGCCAACCCCCTGTCCATAGCCCAGGTCCGGAGACTGAGGCCCACGGAGGGGCAATACCAGCTGGAGGTCCCACCAGGTCATTTCCATCCATCTCCTGCTAAAGCTGCTAGGCCCAGAGCCTGAAGGCTGGGGGAACCCACAGCAATGCCGTGCTGGGGCGGCATGCCAGAGACAAGGAGGTGCTCCCGCGCGGGGTGTGTGTGCAGGAGGTCAGGGAAAGGGGCTGACTGGGCGGCTCTGTGCCCTCTCCCATCCCCCCACCTCACCCAGGCTTTCATCCGGCCATTCCGGGAGCATCACATCGACCCAACAGCCATCACCCGGCACGACTTCATCGAGACCAACGGGGACAACTGCCTGCTGATGCTGCTGCCACTGTTAAACATGGCCTACAAGTTCCACACCCAGAGCCCAGGTAAGCATGCCCGCTGGGGCAGGGGAACCTCCAGGGAGCCCTCGGGGACAAGAAGATGCGCACCCCTCCCACGAGCCTCCCGTAGCTCGTGTGGCTGTTTGACCCCTCAGTGTTATAAAAGTTTGGTTAGTTGCCCTCATGTAAAGTTGGGATATTTGACATATAGATCTGTGTCATATGATCTCTCGAACAATCCGACCTGGGTCCTGGCTCCCACTTGGGCACTGGGCCGGAGCTGAGCTGTGGGGTCCCCCTTACACAAGATGCACATTTGCTGCAGTCCCCACTGTTCCCTGCAGTCCTAACCTTCCCCCCACCTCCACCTTATTCATTTGAATTCACCTGCCTGGCCCTGGGGGTTTCTGATCTTGCTGCCTGGGCTTAGTGGAAAGAGTATACATAGCCTGCAAACTCAATCCTGAGTTCAGAGCTCTGTCCTGCCTGTTTGGGGAAGGAAACTCGTCCCAAGGCAAGTCCCATCACCTCTCTGAGCCTCATTGACCTTATTGCAGGAGAAGGTAGGGGAAGAACCCTTCCTCTGAGCCAGGTCTTGTTCTAACAACTTGACACCTTGCTAGTCTTCAGAGCAGCCCCCCATGGGGGGATGGGCCAAGTGTTTATGGTTCCCACCCACATCCTCTCCCCTCTGCTGTTCGTGGTGGTGGCGGCCATGAGCTCCCTTCTGAGAACTGCCAGCACAGGTCCCGCCCCTCCCCTTGGGATAAGCCTGAAGTCAGTGACCCAAAGAGCCTGCAAAAGACCAACCCCCTGCCTCTGAGTGGGACCAACTCTGTGGAGTCATCAGCATTTCAGAATCCACCCTCCACCCCCCAGAATCAGGCTGAGACAAGACCCCCCCATCCCATCTTTGCTTAACTCTTCCCCTGCCCTGTCCTGCTTTCCTCACTCCTTTGGGTGTTTTTCAGAAGATTCCCCTCCCTAGTCAGATAAATCACGTGCACATGAGTCCTTGTCTCAGCGAGGCTCTGCTTCTAGGGAATGCAGACCAAGATTTATTCCCATTTCATTGATGAGGAAGTTGAGATGCAAAGAGGTAGAGTCGCTGACCCAAGTTCACACAGTCAAGAAATGTCGGAGCAGGGACCTGCATCCAGCCCTGCCTCACTCCAAAGCCCGTATTCTCAACCATTACTTCTGCTTAGTCCCATTCTGCCCACTGAGCAGAAGGGAAGACTGAGGCCAAAGGAGAGTCTGAGCCTGCCGGAGGCCGTGTGGGACATTAGGAGGAGGCCAGGGTGCCTGCTGTCCCGGGAAGTTTGCTGCCCAGGGGCAACGGATGAGGGCCAGGCTGGCAGTGGGCCCCCGCCCTGTGTGACAGCTATTTGGGGCCTGTGGACACCCACACTCTCCCCACCTTGCAGAAGTCCTGGAGCAGCTGTACGCCTGGGAGTGCTTCGTCTTCTGCCTGATCATCTTTAGCACCTTCACCAACCAGATCCACAAGTGGTCGCACACGTACTTCGGGCTGCCACGCTGGGTCATCTTCCTGCAGGACTGGCACGTCATCCTGCCCCGCAAACACCATCGCATCCATCACGTCTCCCCCCACGAGACCTACTTCTGCATCACCACAGGTGCATTCACAGGGCAGCAAGGGACGGGTTGGCCCCCCACTCCGACCGCCACTCCATCCTTAGGGTCGGGGCAGAGGTCGCAGGGGAGGAGGCGCAGTCCTGGAGGAACTTTCTCTCAGAACACACATTTCTTGGGCACCTACTATGTGCCACGCAGTCTTCTAGGTGCCAGGGACACAGCCATAAATAAAACGGACATACACGCATCCTCTTGATAGAGTTGTGATTCCAGCCACCCATCGTCTAGCAAATATTTATTGAGCACCTGCTATGTGAACAAAACACAAAAATCCCTACCTTTATGGCATTCTAAGAGCGGACATCCCAGGCAATGAGTCCTGCATCTGACAGTCCTAACTGCCAAGGAAGACAATAACACAGAAGGGGGTAGCAGATGGAAATAGGGACCTCTGCCCCTATAAATGAGGTGGTCAGGGAAGGCCTCCTGGAGAAGGTGGCATTTGAACTAAGAGAGTCATGAGACCTGGAGGAAGAGCTCTCCAGGCACCAGGAGCAATAGGTGAAGGAGGCAGGAACACACTCGCCTGGTTTGTTTCCGGAGCAGCGAGGAGGCTGGTGTGCAGTGGGGGCCAGAAGGATAGGAAAGCTGGCACAGTCCAGGTTTGAGAGACGCCGTGGGGACAGACGAAGCAGGGTGAAGAGCAGAGAGTCGGGGGGAGCTGGGTGTGGCTGTTTATAAAGGAGATCAGAAAACAGTGAGAGGGCCCTGTGGATAAATAAGGACAGATCAGCCCAAGCAGAGGGCACGGCAGATGCAAAGGCCCTGAGGCCAGAACACGCGCCCGGGAGCAGTCAGGAGGCCCACATGCCGTGTGCAGTCAGGGAGCCAGTGCCAAGGAGGTGAGGCAAGCAGGTGTTCCGGGGCCCGTGGGTATCTTTTTAAGGTTAAGTACACCACGGTGCTCTTAAGTCAGGCCAACGTGGGTAACCTTCCGCTCCTCCATATGCAACTTTCAGAGGCTCACAGCCTCCCTGGTTATCAGTTTTCTCATTCACAAGATGGGGCTCCAGCCACTCCTTCACGCACCACCTCCTGGGCTGCGGTGTGAATGGTCAGACGGCAGATGCAAAGTGCCTGTCACATAGCGGGTACTCAGTAAGCTACGCCGACGGGTGTGGGAACAGGGGTTCGGTTTTGCTTTGGTTTAGTTTGGTCAGGTATTTTGTAGGGTTTTTGTTTTTGCTTTTCTGAAAGCAGAACTGAGAGCCACAGAAAATATTTTTTTGTACATCCTAAAGTCATGCTTTTTAGGAGCAGGTGGAGGGGTAAAATTTAGGCTGTTCAGGAGATCACTTAATTGTTCAGCCAGGGCTGGGATCAGTCTTGGTTTGGCCAGGTACTAACTGGGAGACTGCCCTCCAAGACAGTCTTCTCATGTGGAAAACGGGACTCGTAACAATACCTAGTTCAAGCTTCAGGCAGGAAACTGTGATGCAGATTAAATAAGATTATGAGACTTATTTAATGGAAATAAGACTATTTACTTAGCACCTACCATGCCAGGCATCATCCTAGGCCCTGGGATCCAACAGGATCAACGGTGAAAGAACATGGGGTTCTGGGTTGGGAGCTGGAGATCAAAACCAACACTACATAAGGAAGTGACAAATTAATGAGGATGGTTACAGGTAAAGAAATAAGGATGGGTGAAGGCCTGGAGGGCTGCTAAGTGGTAGTCAGGGAAGGCTTCCTGGAAGAGGTGGCAATTAGAGCCAAGTGATAGGAAGCACTGCCTCTGTGCCTGCCATATAGTAAGCACTCAATAAGAAGGTGAGTGAAGCATTGAAGGTGTGTCTGAGCAGCCGCTCAGCCCACTGATGGGAAGCCCCCATCCCCAGATTCCTTGGTCAGCCCTTTTCCCCTGCACTCTGCAGACCAGATCCTCCGCTGCCCAAGGCAGGGCCAGCTGTCTCTGTGCTCTTTCTGTTGCTCTCCCATTCAACCCCTCCTCACTCCTCCCTGCCCTGTCTCTGCTGCAGGCTGGCTCAACTACCCTCTGGAGAAGATGGGCTTCTGGCGACGCCTGGAGGACATTATCCAGGCCCTGACAGGCGAGAAGCCTCGGGCAGACGACATGAAGTGGGCGCAGAAGATCAAATAACTCCTCCAGGCCACCACCTCATTGCCAGCCTTCCCCAGCTCCCCCAAACTGAAGCCATCTGCCAAACTCCAGCCACCTTGCGCTGGCCACTCCAGGTGGAGAGGACACCTCCTGGGCTGGGCCCGGGCACCTCCAGCCCACCCACACCCCCTTGTGACACAATACTTGAGCCACTGATTTTTTTCATTTCCTTCTTTTCATTTTTCCCCCCTTGGCCCCTCCCTAGGCACCTGAGCTGCTGTCTGCCAAGCCTGACTCTGCAAAAAAAGAAAAAGAGCCCAGCCCTTTCAGCCATCCCCTGGGCTGAGGACAAGCTCACAGGCCCCCCACACTCCCACCACCCCCTGCCCCACTGGGAGCCCTTCAGCGTGGCTGATATCGGGACACTGACCTGTTCCTGTCTGTCTGCCCGCAGAGCTCTAGGAGCCCCCGGGCACAGCTGAGTGTCCCTGGACCGTCACCCCGCTGTGGCCCTGCAGACTGGACTCTGAAGGCCTGGGTGGACAGACAGCCCCAGTCACCACCTTCAGCCTAGCTTGTCCACCCAAGGGCGGCAAAGTGCAGCAGGGGTCTGGGGGCAGCCGGCCAGACAAAGCCAGAATTTCCTGATCGAGTCTGGATTCCATTGTCCCCGACCTTTCCCCCATCTGCCTGTGTGATTCCAGCCAGAGCTGACGTTTCTAATCGGAGGATGTCTTTGAAGGGCACAGCCCCTGCAAAGGGTCTTGGTCATTGGAAAGGGACACGGTGTCCCTTCTGACTTGAGGGTATGTCAGAGAAGGAAGAGTGGGGCTTTTTTGTTTCGGTTATTTTTTTTTTTAACGGTGCTTGCTTGTTTAATGTAAATAATAGAAGGCCTTAATATCTTTTCTGTAACACGGAGTAATATTTTAATGTCATGTTTTGGATGTACATAATATATTTATAACAAAGCAGCAAGAGTCTACTTAACCTGGGCTGCCTCCTGGTTCCTGATTGGCTGGGGGAGGGGAGGTAAGGAGGCTGGAGGGTGAGGCCCCACCCACCCCTGTTCCCAGCTTCCCCCGCAGCCCTCTGCTAAGGATGGAGGCTTTGTCCCCCGAGACAGTGAATCAGTGTTGACATCTGCTCCAGACCCTTCTGGAAGGGGGACCCGTGATTCTGTGAGGAATTTTCATGTAGGAGATCATGGTGAGACATGGAGGCAGAGCCCTACTGAGGAATTCCTTCTGCAAAGGTTTACTGGCATCTGGTATGTGCCAGGCTCTGGCCTGGACACCAGGCATGGAAATGAACCAACAAACAAGGACCTCCCCTGGAGGAGTTGACTTCCTGGGGAGAGACAATAAACATAAATAAATGCACACAGACATTCGGGTGGTGATTTGTAAAGAAAATGAAACGCTTGGGATGACATTGGAAAAGGGTGAGGCTGCTTTGGCAGGTCAAGGAGGGCCTCTCTGAGCAGGTGACATTTGAGCTGAGACCTGGAGGAGGAGATGGAGCCAGTTGGGGAAAGAACTGTGGGAAAAGCCCTGGCCGGACAGTAGTGCAAAGGCCCTGAAGCAGGAACATGCCTGGGGTTTTTTAAAGAATGTGGCTGGACTGGAGTGAGCAAGGGGACAGTGGAAGATGAGATTTGAAAAATAGGGACCAACTATATGGATAGCCAAATGGGGAGATGACATTTTAAACAAGTATCTTGTTCATTTATTCATTGAACAAATACAAGGTGCCTCCTATATGCCAGGTGCTGGGATTCAGCAGTGAACAGACAGGCATTTACAATTAATCTAGTCTGGGCTGCTGCTGCTAAGTCACTTCAGTCATGTCCAACTCTGCGCGACCCCATAGACAGCAAGCCACCAGGTTCCCCCATCCCTGGGATTCTCCAGGCAAGAACACTGAAGTGGGTTGCCATTTCTTTCTCCAATGCATGAAAGTGAAAACTGAAAGTGAAGTCGCTCAGTCGTGTCTGATTCTTAGCGACCCCATGGACTGCAGCCTACCAGGCTCCTCCATCCATGGGATTTTCCAGGCTAGAGTACTGGAGTGGGGTGCCATTGCCTTCTCCAGTCTGGGCTAGATAGTTTCTATAATAACGAGTAAAAACAAAAACCTTTTGGGGACAGAGAATGACAAAGACTCTAGAGCAGTCACAGATAAAGTTTTTTTAATGTGACCCATAACTTTATTTTCCTTAAACTCTGCCCAACACTAGACTTTTGAAAAAAGTTTTATTTTGAGATAACTAGATTCTCATGTAGTTCTAAGAAAACCACCAGTAGACTTGTGATTTCAGACTATCCGAGGGGACCACAAAAGGAAGGGGTATTAGAATTTATCAACTCTAAATGACGAAACTATAACTGATGCAAAAATTAGTAGTGAAAATAATTCTATTAACTCATGTAACTGAAAAGTTTTAGAGGTGTTTCTGACAAGGTTTGGTGGGACCCCAGGGTACATATGATTCATCAGACCTTGGTGTCTAGCTCTATTGTCTGTCAAGCGAGTTGAGGTTGACATTGGACCAGCTCCGTATGTCAGAAAATGTTTTCCTTCCCAGCAGATGCAGCCAAAGTCCCAGGGCAGGCTCTTACTGGCCTGGATTGGGTCACGTGCCTACTCCTGAACCAACCATGTTAGGGTGGGATGGTAAAGTGTTCTGACTGGCCAGGGCTGAAATATCCACCTGGAGTTGCAGAAGTGAGATCAACATTTCCCAACCACAGGATGAGAGGAGGAAAGAATGGTTGCTGAAAGAAAAATTAAGGTGTTAACCATAAGTCTGGGTGGGGCAGAGAGCCAAAATCAGGACCAGATAAGCAGCCTTGGGGCTACAGGGCTTGCTTTCCTATTCCTTGCACTAATCACTGCAGATGGTGCAGTGCAGGCAATGCAGATGGTCCCTGCATCTAATCACTGCAGATGGTGACTGCAGCCATGAAATTAAAAGACGCTTACTCCTTGGAAGGAAAGCGATGACCAACCTAGACAGCATATTAAAAAGCAGAGACATTACTTCGTCAACAAAGGTTCGCCTAGTCAAGGCTATGGTTTTTCCAGTGGTCATGTATGGATGTGAGAGTTGGACTATAAAGAAAGCTGAGCACCAAAGAATTGATGCTTTTGAACTGTGGTGTTGGAGAAGACTCTTGAGAATCCCTTGGACTGCAAGGAGATCCAACGAGTTCATCCTAAAGGAGAGCAGTCCTAGGTGTTCATTGGAAGGACTGATGTTGAAGCTGAAACTCCAATCCTTTGGCCACCTGATGCGAAGAGCTGACTCATTGGAAAAGACCCTGATGCTGGGAAAGATTGAGGGCAGGAGAAGGGGATGACAGAGGATGAGATGGTTGGATGGCATCACCGACTCAATGGACATGAGTTTGGGTAAATGGGAGTTGGTGATGGGACAGGGAGGCCTGCGGTTCATGGGGTCACAAAGAGTTGGACACGACTGAGCGACTGAACTGAACTGATTCCTATTCCCGGGCCCTTCGGGCAGTATATTTCTAGAACCTACCAGAAGCCAGCAAGAACAAACACCCGAGTTCAGAGAGTGAAGTGGCTTGCCCAAGACCACACAGCTAGTAAGACACAGCCAGGCCTCAGACTCAGATGGTCTGGCTGCTCCTGAATCCCGAGGACTGGAAACGTATTTTTCTAAACCAGAGTCAGGTATGTTTTGTGTGAGGTCTGGGAAAGTTGGGGTCATTTGTGAGATGGGAGTATTCCAACAAGTTCCCACTGAGAAACAGGAGGCAGGAAATGCTGACTAACACCCACCGCACACTTAGCACCGGCCAGAGACCGAGAGCCCCGAGCAGGAGCCCCTGCGGGCAGTCCCTGCAGCCCTGAGAGGTCAGTACACTTAGCCCCATTTTTTGCAGATGAGGAAACAGGCACAGAGTCAGGTAACGTACCAAGCGTCACACAGCTGGTCGGCGGGGCTGGGATCTGAGCCCTGGTCTGACGCTGAGCTCCGGCAGGTTTCACCAGCAGCCCTAGGGGAGGGAGGGAGGTGGGAAGGCAGGTTTTCCAGCGTGTCCCCCAGGAGAAAGCAGCAACGTCGCAGGATGAGAGACCGCCGCTGACACCAAGGAGTGGGGCTCCCCGGAGACATGAGACCCCCAGAGGGCAATGACCACTCACATCCGTTGATTAAAGAAGAGCCAGAAAATCCAGACGCTTTAAAACGCTGGCTCCGTTCTTTAATCATACCCCCGGCAAAATAAAACAGGTGTCTAGGTCAACGTCGGCCCACATCTTCCCAGCTGGTGGGTGCTCTGTCGCTCAGTCGTGTCCGACTCTTGGTGACCCCCGTGGACTGTAGCCCGCCAGACTCCTCTGTCCATGGCATTTTGCCGGCAGGAATGCTGGAGCGGGTGTCGTCATCGCCCGGCTGGTGCAGGGACCGCCTGACTTTAGGTGGGTGTGTGCTGCCATCTGGTGGTGGACTGGGGCAGGTGGCAGCGCGCGCAGATGAGTTCCCAGCTCCGCTGGGAAACGTCCTGCATTCCCCTCTGCTGACTTGTCTTTAGAGGGGTTCTGTGCACCGTGACTGCCCCCAGCATTAACCTCACCCCCTTTTGATATACCTAAAAATTTCAAGCTACCCTTTTAAGCATAATTTTGTAACAGGTAATGCATGCATAAGGTAAAGAGTAATAGTGGACTTTGCTGATGGTCCAGTGGTTAAGACTCCACACTACCAATTCAGGGGGTCTGGGTTCAGTCCCTGGCCAGGGAGCTAGATCCCACATGCCAGCAACTAAAAGATACTGTATGCTGCAACGGAGATTCCACGTGCCTCAACTAAGACCTGGCACGCATGCCCAGTCCTGTCCAGCTCTTTGCGATCCCATGGACTGTAGCCCGCCAGGCTCCTCTCTCCATGGAATTTCCCAGGCAAGAGTACTGGAGTGGGTTGCCATTTCCTTCTCCACTAAGACCCAGCACGGCCAAATAAATAAATACAGATAAGTACTTTTTTAAAGAGTAATAATACAGGGGTCAGCAGACTGTGGCCAGTAGGCTAAATGTGGCCCACTTGTTTTTCTGTTGTCCCCATGAGCACTTTTTAATAGTGGGGGCAATAAAGAATATTTTCCTAACAAATGACATTCAAATTCAGTGTCAGTCATAAAGTTTTCTTTGGCACTCAGTCACACCCATTATTTGTGTATTGTTTATGGCTGGTTTTTCAATACAGCAGCAGAGTCAAGAGACCAAATGACCCACAAAACCTAAAACACTATCTGGCCCTTTATAGAGAAAAATGGACCAACTCCAGATCTAGAGTGCTCCCCACTCGTGCTCCCCCAAGCCCTCTGTTCTCCCCAGAGGCCACCATCTGAATGAGACCCTTGGAAGTCCCTTCCACAGTCACAGAGGCACGGCTGGCCCCCACTCTTCACACAATGGGTAGAATATTACATGCACAGTTCTGCACCTTGCCTTTTGCATTTAATATGTTTTGAAGATAGTATTATATCAATGCTTCCTTAGTTCCTTCCTTATTTCTTTCTACAGCTGTATAACATTACCACTTCAGGATGGACCTTCGTGAACTCATCACTCGTTAAACTTTGAGGTCATTTTCAGTCTTGGGCAATACAAATTGCTGTGGTGTGCGCTGAAGGACTTAAGTCTTTGCTCACGAGGGCCAGTAGACCTGAGGGGCCAATTCCTGGGGATATTGCTGGGTTAGGGATGTGGGCGAGTTACCTTTCGATTGCTCATGCCAAAATTGCCTTTGACCAAGGCCACGCCCATTTAAACTCTCAGAACTTGAGCACGCCAGTTTCCTCACACCCTTGCCAACTCCGGGTGTTAGCGAGTGTTTTCTTCTTTGCCAATCTGATAGGTGGTTTTAATTTGCATTTCTCTTACTGTATTTCATTGAATCTAAGATATCATTGATTGTACCATGCACCTGATTTCAGAAATGCTTGAATGTAAAATTTGCCTCTTAGAATCACTGAAATCAAATATGTTGAGTGGAATTGGCTCTTTTATTGCATTTTCTTACTCTGTATTGTTCTATTCTGATTTTGGGGGGGGGGGGCAGTGGGGGCGGGGAGGAAGGACATGGTGGTTAAGAGCTTAGAGTTCAAATCCCAGCTCTGCCCCTCACAAGTGTGAGTCTTTGCACAGTCTACTTAATCTTTTCTGTGTTCCAGTTTGCTCATCTGTAAGGTGAGTACCTACTTCATAGGGTCATTGTGAAAGTAAAGTGAAAGTCACTCAGTCATGTCTGACTCTGCAACTCCATGGACTATATGGTCCATGGAATTCTCCAGGCCAGAATACTGGAGTGGGTAGCCTTTTCCTTCTCCAGGGGATCTTCCCAACCCAG